CTGGGCCGACTGGAGGACGGAGATGTCTCTCTGACCATAAAGAGCCTCACAGAGGGAGACGCTGGACGATACGGCTGCAGGGTGGAGATACCCGGGCCGTTCAATGATGAGAAGCATCACGTCGACCTGACTGTTGTCCCAGGTGAGTCTGCAGCTGAGGATCAAACAGCCGCTCGTTCGTTTGATTCTCAGACTTTAAACTGTCTGCCTGAACTTTTACATTCATGATGGTAACGAGTGTTTGCACGACTGTTTCAGCTCCACAGGTTCACACATCAACGGCCTCGACGACGAAGACCGCCGCGGCCTCTCAGACTGCAGGTGATGAAGCTGTTTGTAGTTTATAACGAGCTGCACACTCGTCCTGCTCACAACAAACTTTATTAGTCGTCACAGATTTACAGCAGCAGCTCCTGATGTGTCAGATTGATGGTCCCAGTGATGCTGTGACATCAGGCTCCCAGTGCGATACAGCATCAGCAGGTTAAAGTGAAGCACTAGAGCGTCGGTGTCAAACTCTGGCCCGTGAAGCCAAATTACTATCAGAGCTGGCCTGCTGGTGTTATACAGCTAATATATATTGTTTAGTATTAAGCTTTGCTTGTTCCATATTCAGTTTTTCAGCAAAACGTGTTTGAGTCCATAAGAAAAGATTCATTCTTATATCTGGAGGAATAAATATATTTCAGTAAATATTAATGTTAGCCCGACTTTGTTCCAGTTTTGTATTTTGGCCCACTGAGTGTTTGAGTTTGACACTCCTGCACTAGAGCGTCGGGCTGCTGATGAAACTCCCTTTAAAGCATCTGCTTTCACTTCCTCACCTGCAGGTCACCTGACCTCCACAGAAAGCCTGCTGACTTCCTCCCACAGTGTGACGAGCGGCAGTGAGGTGAGAGATCCTGTGAGAAACACAATAAGTAACCTGATGTATTGATGTCTAATGTTGGAGACTGAAGCTGTCTGTAGAAGTCTCTCTGAGTCGCAGCAGCAGGATCCACGCGAGCGTCCCCAGAGGACAGAGTGATGAGCACAGACAGCTGTGGCTTCAGCTACACATGATGAATGAAACATGAATCCTTTCACATCCTGTCATCAGGGGCCGTGAAACGGAGGCAGAGGAGGCGAAGAGTTTGCTGCTCGTTTATTGTTTGAAGCTTTTGATTTGTTGGGTTTGGACATTCAGTGCTTTGACTCTTTGGTTCTGGTTATAATTTTGTCGTGTTATCGATGTTACCACTAGCACTGCCCGTCACCGCCACAGTACGAGCCACCGAAGGTCTCCAGAGATTTCATTGTGTAGTCTGGTCTGTTTGCTTTTGCTCCCATGTGATCCTGTTATTAGCGTGAACGTCCTGATGACCCGGCGTGTATAAATAGTCCTGCCCCTCAGGTCCTGCTCTGGATTTTGTTTCTTTGCCTTTTTGTTGTTTTGGATCAGCTGCTGCTCGCGTGTTGCTAATCTGCACAGACGTGTGACGTGTTAAACGCCACATCTATGATGTGTGTTTGTGTGTCTGCAGAAGCGGGAGGGCGGAGCTCTGACGGGCGTTATGCTCTACGTGCTGCTGGGTTCGGTGTTGCTGCTCATCATCGGTGAGTTCTTCACGGCCTCGACAGCAGCTCGCTCGCCACAGCAGCTCACTCGCCACAGCTGCTCGCTCGCCGCAGCAGCTTTACATGTTTGACCCACTGCTGTTTCTCATGTTACTGATCAGCTGTGATGGAGTCAGACGACTGTCAGAACCTCCACACTGAGTGCTGCTG